AAACGTGTGGGTCGTTCCGAAAAAATCTGACTGGCAATAAGAAGTGGAGGTTAGTAATCGATTATAGGAAACTGAACAAAAAAGCAATTTCAGATAGGTACCCCATCACCAAACATCAACGACGTACTGGACAATATTGGAAAATCAATCTACTTCTCGACCATCGACTTAGCAAGCGGGTTCAACCAAATCGAGATGGAATCCGGTGACATGACAAAAACAGCATTTACTATGGAAAACGGGCATTATGAGTTCGTCCGTATGCCGTTCGGGCTGAAGAGCGCCAACGAGTCATGGACAACGTCCTAGGCGACCTCGTTGGCCCCATTTGCTTGGTCTACCTAGACGATATAATTATCTTTTTTACCATCCCTGCAACAACACATTAACGACATTTCGAGCTTTTTTGTAAAATTAACAGCAGCTAACCTCTTTAGGTTCAGATTACCAAATTGGAATATCTTCGGACGGAGATCGACTTTCTACGGCCCATTGTTACAGATAACGGAATAAAACCAAATCCAGACAAGATAGACACTATTAAAAACTTTCCTTTCCCAAGGAATAGGAATTAGTTAAAATCATTTTCAGTGTTGTTCAGATATTATAGGAAATTCAGTAGGGACTTCGTCAAAATCACGAAACCAATGACGAAACAACTAAAAGGCAAAAAGAAATATTTCCACAGATACCGAATTTACGGAAGCATTCGACAAATGCAAAACCTTGCTCTGCAACGACCCAATTCTACAACACCCCGACTTCAATAAACCCTTCATTCTCACAACAGACGCAATAACTTAGCGCTAGGCGCAGTGCTCTCACAAGGTAGTGTTTCTAACGACAAACCTGTGGCGTATGCTAGTAGAAGAAAAAGAAATGTTAGCCATCGTCTGGACACTCCAGACCCTATATTTTCGGCAACAAAGTACCACTTGTTACAGATCATAGACCTCTCACCTGGTTAATGAAGTTCAAAGAGCCATACTCTAAGCTTGTCCGATGGAAGCTACAACTCCTAGAATATGACGATGAAGTAGTGTACAAAAAAGGCTACCAGAACGTAGTGGCAAATGCGTTGAGTAGACTAGAATGCAACTTAAATGACAACAACATAGACTTGACAACATCGAACAAGCCGTATACCGAAACACCTATAAATGACTTAAAATACCAAATAATTTTCGAAAACGGGCCCAACTTCACAAATAAAATAATATCACCGTTTAAGAATTAAATTAAGACGAATAATTCAGGTCCCCACTTTCAACGACCAAATAATAAAAACCATACTTGGGGATCATATCAAACCTCACAAAATATACGCTATAATGGCGGACGACCAAACCTTTCTAGCATTCAAAGCATATACAACATGCATTTCAATCAAAACGATTAATTCAAAATAGTCAGATGCAAAAACATACTGAAGGAAATAACAGACCAGACACAATTGGATAAAATCATCTCGAAGTACCACACAGACACAAACCACAGGGGAATCGATGAGACATATCAAAAAAGGGAATTCTATATTCCCAAACTTAAAGAAATAGTGAGCAAAACCATAAAGAACTGCAGCGTTTGTCTAACAACAAAATATGACAGACATCCCCAACAAATACCCTTTGTCATCCCTGAAATTTCGTCCCTACCCCTACAAATTATACACATAGATATTTATACTATTAACAAAGCATATTACTTGACTGTCATTGCGCAAGCATACACAATTGATAATAGGAACATGATTAACATCGTAAAATCCATTAAAAATTTTATAAAAACATTCGGCATTAAAAAAAAATAGTTTGCGACCAAGGGCCAGAATTCGCAGGGAAAATCTATAAAGACTTTTGCGACCAGTTCGATTTCGAGCCCCACATGACATTATTCTAATAATCTTTTAGCAACGCTCCAGTTGAAGGACTTCACTCAACCCTTACCGAAAGTTATAGAATAATCTTAATAAAAGGAAAAAACAGAAACTCACTTTAGACCACGAAGACATACTAACGGAAACCATCATAACATACAATAACTCAATACACTCGAACACAAACCTCACACCGTATGAAGCCTTCACAGGTAGAATGTTCATTCACGCCAAATTCAGCACACGATTACCTTAAAACAAGTAAGAAAGCTCTAGTCGGGGTGCCCGACTAGGAGATACCCTGATCCCAGTCCTCTGAGTTTTTTTTTTAATTTCCCGTAGTTTGTATCGAGTATTCAAAAAAAAAAAAAAAGAAAACAAATAAAAATCGACATTGCGAGACCAGGTTTCGAGCCCGGATTATTTGCGCAGCAATAAAACAATAAAAAATGTCTCATCTCCACCGGTCTCGAACCCCGGACCGATCTGCATACTAGTGCCGCCTCTACCAACGCAGCCACTGCACCTCTTGCGAAAAGAGTTGCAAATTTGAAGTTAAGTAGCAGCTAATAATTCAGCACAATTCAAGCGCAATTTCAATTCTTGGAATAGAGAAGAATACACGCATTTGAATGTATGTGTGCACACGCATAGGAAAAATGCGTGCGCGTGGCGCTGCTGACATGTGCTTTTGCAAATTGGCCAAACGTTTTGTATAACAACTTCTGTTTTACGTAATGGATTTTAATGAAATTTTCAGCATATGATCTACATATCCTATTGGCTTGGTTGAGATGCAAACGCTGTCACATAATGACCCTATTTCCAACCAAACTTTACTTTAAGAATTTGGAGAAATTTGGAGCCGGTATCCGTTCGAGATTTAATTTATTTACTGCATTTAAATAAAGTTTTTATTCGATAACAATTAAATATGAATAGTTATCGAATATTTGAAACAAACTTGACCTGCGCGTGCTATACACGGACCTACAAAAAAAATTTCTCTAGCTCTTATAGATGCTGAGATCCACGCGTTCACACATACGGACAGACGGACGGATGGACAGACGGACAGACGGACAGACAGACAGACGGACAGGGCTCAATCGACTCGGCTTGTCGTCCTGATCAGGAATATATATACTTTATGGGGTCTGCCACGCCTCCTTCTGCCTGTTACATACATTTGCACAAAACCATTATACCCTGATTTCCCATTTTTATTGGGATCAGGGTATAAAAACTTAATGAATGCAAATCCAACTTATATCCAACAATTAAACAGCAGCTGAACAAACAAGAGAACACTATTATTAGTAAATATAATAAACTTTTACATTGATATCCTCTTTAATCAGTTAAACAATTTGGCAGAAAGTTTGTTATTCATTAAATTAAATTACTACCACGTTTTATACTTAACGTGGTTGAGCTTCAAAAATTAAGAACTATGATCAACACACAAAATATTACCGTGGAAACAGATTACGAATTGTACAACATCCTTCGGATGGAAGCATATTCGGAAAATAAGAGTATTATCTTTAAGATTAAAATACCAATTTTATTTAGAGAAGAATATTATCTGTACCACCTTATACCACTGCCCATTAAAGGACAACATTTTTAAAAATACCCGAATATGTTGTAATGAACTGCAAGCAACTGTAGAAACTAAGGAAACTCAGAATAATTGTGTAAAATTATATAAGTTAAATATTTGACAAAACAAACTAACTACTAGAAACAAATGCCTAGAAAACTTGTTGAGTAACCAAACGTCGAGTCGTTTTCATCTTAAACGGCGCAAACACAGAAAATCAAACAACCAGCAATAAACCATAGTCCAATCGGAAGCCTTGGAAAAATTTGAAATAGAGATGCCAAAAATCAAACACATGAAAACTAATACGACAACTAAGTCGATCAAACTGAAAAGCCTTTATTTCACTGTTGATTACCCAACCCGTCTAAGCACGACACATTTCACTACGATTTATTCTGCAATAATCCTTCTGTTGATCAGCATGATCATACTCATAAGACACTGGAGGAAAGAAGTTATTTTTAAGGAAACAATTTCCGGCATTCTACGTACCGGCCGTCCCTAGCCTTTGGCCAGCACTCCACACTGGGGGGGAGGTGTTACTATCCCGATGCTGGCCACAGCTTCGCTTCCTCTCAAGCCTCGCACCCACCAACAACTCTGCCTTTGTGGCAATGAGCGGAAGTAACGTCACTGACCGCGAGTCAGAAGCAATAACAAAGCCGACGTGTGACGCTCGGCAGAACTCAGAACTTTAGAAATTGAATAAAACACTTCAATTTTGACTCGCAAACCAACCAGTTCTGAATTTATTTGTACTCCAACCTTAGAATTACTTGATGAACAATTAAAAATCTCGCCGAGGGACATTATCTCCAATTATCAACGAAGCTCCATCACTCGGACCACAACCTAAACTCATATCGAGTTTGCTTCAAAGACTTGATAACTATTTGCATTTTATTGTGATCGAAGAAAAACATGAATGAAATGCAGTTAATAAATTATATCTCGAACGTCTTAAGAACTAAATTTTGTATTTAGTTATATGTATATTTTGTGCAATTTTGATTTTTAACCTACAGTGGGTCAATTTTAGTTTCTGACTCTGATTGTTGTAACGAGCTGATTGCCTTTCAAGCCTTTCTATGCATTTGTGGCAATAATTATTGTCTTCGTAGACTCTTGCCATTGTAAAATGTCGTTATGTGGAGGTATTTGGCTGGTATATGTTTTCTTAGGCTTTCAGTACAATTTTTTCAGGATCTTATGAGATACATATTACTAGCGTCTCTGTGAGGATCGATATATATATTTAAATGTATAAATATAAATACACTGTAAGTGTATATGTATGTATGTATTTATACATATGTTTAATGAGATAGAATACATTACGTTGAACTGATAAACACTCCGCAGTGCGACGTGTTTTATAATGTTTAATAAATATCCCTTAAAGCAAATGATCCATTTTTATCAACGAAGACAATGGTAAGGGGCAGTTAGAAACATTAAAAGAGTTGTTATGCTCAAAGTGACAACTTGGACATCCGAAGTGTCGCTGGTGTCTCCATCTATAAGTATTGTAAGCATGAACTTTCAGCCAATTGAATTTAGCCCGGATTGAACTCGGAATAAGCCGTGGGTCCGTTACACAACAAACTATAGTATAGTATAATATAGTATTGATAATTATTTCTATACGTCACCTTCCTTCAAGCATTTAAGTCCCATAATATTGCAGTAAGGCTGATCTGAAAGAAAAGATATACATTTTTATCATACTGTTTGAGTTGTAACAAATAAGACAGCTCTAGTCGGGGTGCTCGACTAGGAGATACCTTGATCCCAGTTGTATCTGCGTTTTTTAATATTTTCCGTAGTTTGTATCAAGTATTAAAAACAAAAGCAAATAAAAATTGATATTACGACACCAAGATTCGAAAGCACAATTTTTACGCAACGCTCACCAACTCTACCAACACAGCCACTTCATAATTAAAAAGAAAACAATAAAAAATGTTACATCGCCACCCGTCCCGAATCCAGAGATTAACCGCTACCGTGCGCCGTTTCTACCAAGGGCACCACTGCACTGCTTGCAAAAAGAGTTGCAAATTTGAAGTTAAGTAGCAGATAATAATTCAGCCAGTTTCAATCGCAATTTCGATTCTTCGAATAGAAAAGAATACACGTAATTGAATGTATGTTTGCACACGCATAGGAAAAATACGTGCTCGTGCAAAAGCACATGTCAGCAGCGCCAAGCTCACTCATTTTTCCTATACGTGTGCATATTACATTAAGTTTGTTGTCTCGGTCCTGTGACGTGAGCTCGCGGTCCGGATTACGGTCATCTTATTAAGATTATGGTGGAGGCTTGACTTCACCCTTTTCACTTACTGGCTTTGTGGCTCAGTAATTGATGTCAATAAGTAAATGATCAGTTTAACGTCCAGTTGCCGGAGTGCAAGTAGTTTTAATGTTAACCAAAAGCTCTTTCGTACGAGAGTAAACTTAAGTTTAGAAGCCACAACGGCTATTTCATTAAAGAAATTACAACAACAATCGGCATGCTGACTAAGCATGATAGGGCGTCAAACTGTAACGTGCGAGGTCTGCCACGCCTCCTTCTGCTTGTTACATACATTTGCACAAAACGGGAATTCTTGATCAGGACGACAAACCGAGTCGTCTGTCTGTCTGATCGTATGTATTTTTGTAAATGCAGTTATTTTATTTTTTCTAGAGAGGGCCTCTAAATTTGTATTTAGTTGTATGTAAATTTTATTCAAATTTGATGTGTTGGATTTTGGATACCGGCTCCAAATTTCTTCAAATTCTATCACGACATTGTTCCAGAAAAATTGAAAGTGCCGTATGAAAAGCATGGCGTTGTGGAGGTGGTCTGAGAACTGCGTTGTTTGTGATATTATGTCCAGGAGAATTTTTGCCTTTATACATCTAATACTATATATATACGTGTTATTGTTACGTGGATATTGTTGACCTCTCCATAATTATATAATATTGTTATATACTATTGCCATTTTATGTTTTACTACTTATATTATTTGTTACTTGAATATACACATACTTGTTAATGCTGGATTACGTAGGGAGCAATTGCATAAATTAATTTCCATTTCATATCGGATTTGCGATAAACAAGTGGAAAAACTGAAATAAAAAAATATTTAAAAAAATTTATTAGAAATTATTTGTATGCACTATATAAAGAAAAGTATATATTAGGTATTATAAAATTTGTTAAATGTTCAAAGCTACTAAATTTACAAAATGGATGCTTTTAGATTTGTGACACGGCTTGTGAACGAGTTTACCAAGATCAATTTATTAAACTTAATGTTAAAGCTACTTTAAATTTTCAATCTATTCTTCTAAGTTATAATTTTTGCTTGCTATATTTTACATTCCATCTTCAATATGATATATTCTGGCAATGTTCTATATATACAATCTCTTCTTTCTTCTAACCAACAATAACATGTTAAGGCTTTTTAATTTCAACATTCTAAAAGGTATTTTCGAAAATAAAGATGATGATCATTAAAATATTGGAAGTCAGAATTGCATGCACATATCGCATTTACATAATGCTAGAAGCATTCATTTTTTTTTTGCCCCCATCCTAGTCTTAATAGATAGACCCTGATCGCATTGAAAATGGGAAAATCTGGGTATACTGGTGTTCTGGAAATGTATGTAACAGGCAAACATTTTTTTGTAGGTCCGTGTATAGCACGCGCATATCAAGTTTGCTTCATATATTCGATAACTATTCCTGTTTTAGTGTTATCGAATAAAAACATGATCGAAATGCAGTTAATAAATTATATCTCGTACGTCTTACGAGCTAGAACTTCCAAATTTGTATTTAGTTTTATCTATATTATATGCAATTTGGATTTTTATTGGATTTTGGATACTGGCTTCAAATTTCCCCAAATTCGTAAAATTTTAATTCAGTTGATAGAGTTGATGCGCCTTGCGTAGGAATTGTGGGTTCGAATCTTGGTGTTGTACTATCGATTTTTATTTGTTTTTGTTTTTTGAATACTTGATACAAACTACGGAAAATATTAAAAAACGCAGATAGGACTGGGATCAAGGTATCTCCTAGTCGGGCACCTCGACTAGAGCTTTCTTAATAATGCATTTTAAAGACATTATCAGCATATGATCTATTGGCTTGTTAGAAATGCAAACTCGATTACTTATTGGTCTAATTTCCAACTGAGCAGGTAATCAAAATACAAACAAAAATCAAAATTGCATAAAATATACATAAAACAAAAATTAAAATTGCAGAAAATATAAATAAAACTAATTACAAAATTTTGAGGCTCAAGCTCTTAAGCCTTACGAGATATAATTTAACAACTGCATTTCGATCATGTTTTTAATTGAAAAAGGCAAAAGTAACAAGTAAGAAAGCTCTAGTCGGGGTGCCCGACTAGGTGATACCCTGTTCCCAGTCCTCTAAGTTTTTTAATATTTTCCGTAGTTTGTATCGAATATTCAAAAGAAAAAAAGAAAAAAAAAATGACATTGCGAAACCAAGTTTCGAACTCGGATTATTTGCGCAACGTGCCCCAACTCTACCCCATTTTTAATTGGATCGGGGTATACAATGATTAAGTTTTCCATCAAGCAAATTTTGGTGTTGCAAAAATATATTAAGGTGTGCACAAAATCAAAATATGATAGGCATCCCAAAAAACAGGAACTCGGCGCGACTCCAATTCCTTCATATGCAGGCGAGATGTTGCATATTGACATTTTTCCCACAGATAAAAACTGTTTTTAAACTTGTATCGACAAATTCTCCAAATTTACAGTAATGCAACCAGTCATATATGTACCACCATTACACAGCACCTCAAATAGACAGGTAGAACGGTAGAGAATTGGTGATGGGCCAAAAATCCCACGACATAGCCATAGTCATAGCCTTGTACAACATGTCTAAACACTCAGTTACCAACAAAATGCCAATTGAAATAATCTTTTCCACACCGGGCAAGTTTAACCAAACTATTTAAAGCAAGTTAGCAAGGGCACCACAAGCCTATCTGGACAGATGTACCCCAGATAGGCAGAACAGGGTGTTCGATGTAGGCGAAAGAGGTTCCTGAAGAACGACAAGAGTTTGGGTAACAAGTTGTGCTTCTTATGCTTGGAAGGGATCATACAAGTAGACCTTAGGAATGTTTGTGCTGTTAAAGGGGACGAACAGAGAGTGAACAGAGTCTTGCATTTGATAAGCGGGATACTAGTCGGGCAGTAAACAAAATTTACATAAACGCAATTTACAAACGCATTTACATAAACAAGTACGAAAATATAAAACTTACGTTCTCTGCCACGTTCGCCAAATCCTAGTTAATAAAACCACAATATTTAAGTCATTGTCGATTATATCTCACCAAGCTAGTTTGTAAGAAGGCTGTGGCACCCATGCCTAAGAAAGAGAGAAAGTGTGATGATAAAGTTTTAGCTAGCACAGATCTCACCACAAACAATTTGCAAGTTACAATTACGTGTTACACGCGCTCGTGAATTATACCCAGGCAGATCAGATATGTACACGGTCACATGGAACCAACTACAGTGGTAGACAAAGAAGTGCTTGACATCGACACACGATCTGCAAGAATCCATTGATGACATATCTGTGACAACAATCAGGATGCCCACCTGGGCACACACAAATGCATAACCATAATAATGGTGCAAAGTATTCAAAGCAGAGAAACCGGAGAAACACTTGAGTCAAGTCGACATTCACCAAGGGTGTAGCATTGACGTCAATAATCTTAAAAGGGGAGCATAATAATAAGGTTCTGTAATCGAAAAGGTTCTGTAACTATCGTTACAATCCCCGATTTTACCATCATTACAAGTAAGATGTCAAAAAACTTTCTCCTTCTCCTGTAACCTCTCCGAATGTAGACGTATATTAAATTACGCTATAGCAAAAAGAAATATCACATAATATAGTACGCCAAGAGTTGCACTTCTTTCGTGCACCTCTTCTACTTTCATAGGAAAATGTAGAAAAGAGCTTTAATTATACCCTGATCCCATTGAAAATGGGAAATCAGGGTATAATGGTTTTGTGCAAATGTATGTAACAGCCAGATGGAGGCGTAGCAGACCCCATAAAGTATATATATTCTTGATCAGGACGACAAGCCGAGTCGATTGAGCCCTGTCCGTCTGTCTGTCTGTCCGTCTGTCCGTTTGGCCGTATGTGTGAACGCGTGGATCTCAGCATCTATAAGAGCTAGAGACTTGAAATTTTGTAGGTCCGTGTATAGCACGCGCAGGTCAAGTTTGTTTCAAATATTCGATAACTATTCGCACTTAATTGTTATCGAATAAAAACATTATTGAAATGCAGTAAATAAATTATATCTCAAACGTCTTAAGAGCTAGATCCTCCAAATTTTGTTTTAGTCTTATGTATTTTATGCAATTTTGATTTTTGTTGGATTTTGGATACTGTCTCCAAATTTCCCCAAATTCTTAAAATTTAAGTTCAGTTGGAACTAGGCACATTATGTGAAGGAGTTTGAAACTCAACCAAGCCAATAGAATATGTAGATCATCTGCTGAAAATTTCAATAAAATCCATTAAATAAAACAGAAGTTATTAAAAAAAACGTTTGGCCAATTTGCAAAAGCACATGTCAGCAGCGCCACGCGCACCCATTTTTCCTATGCGTGT